GCAACAGTAGGGAGTCGAGTGGGTATAACAATTGGAGTATTCCAAATGAATTTGATTTCATTACAAATTTTTCTAATAAACACAAATTTCTCTGTAGACTTATATTTTATTAAATTTTAATTACAATTTTCTGCAGGGTATTTTCAGCTCAGGCACTTTCCTTCGAAGGGCCAGCTCCCTAGTTTGAACGTCATGTCTCTGTTGTGGCTGCAGTGCAAACATTTCACACCTCAAATTCATTGAAAAATATATTGCAATATATTTTGAGCTCTGTGTTTGCAGAAAATTTCGCTGGCTCCAGCCATCATGTGAGCGACACAAACGAACTGGAAAAAACGCGATCTTTAAAAATAACGCCAAACCGCGTGCGGAAAACTAATGTTGAAAATTTAATTTGGCAGATGGCAAAGTGCAGAAATGGCAATTGCTCTATGAATCTATCAACAGCTATGCAATAAACTCTAAAAATAACCAGAATTCTATAAGCCATGCGTCCAAAAACCTGAAACGTAATCATTTGAGAACACGTAGCATACACCGGAAAATATAAAAACATTTAGGTACTTCAACTATTGTTATATAATTAATGAATTAATTAATTATTGGTTTGGAGAAACTGACATCTGAGACTGTTGCGGATCCAGGCTATCGCTCTTCTATGCGATTCTCATTATTTAAAAAGGTTTGCAAGATATTACTTTATTTTTTTTTAAGTTGATTTTTCTTACTCTGTCTCTCACTATCTGTCTCCCTTGTTCTCACTTTTCTGTTCTTTACTTTCACTCTCTCATGCTCTCTCTATCTTCTAGTTCTTTTCTCACTTTCTAATTGTTTTTTTTAACTTGCTAACTCTCTCCCACATCTTCCTTTTTTTCACATTGTCTTTGGCACGCCTTTCTTATCTTTTCTCTCATTCACATACTCTCTCCCTCTCACTCTTTCTTGCTCTCTCTCTCTTTCTCTCTCTTCCTCTCTTTTTCTTTCTGCCTTATTCTTACTCTTTCTGTCTTTTTTTGTTTCGCTTTGTGTCTCTCTTTGTTCACTTCTATTTTTCTGTCACTCTGCCCCTCTCACACACACTCTGCCCTTCTCACTCTCACTCTCTCTTTTGCTCTATATATCTATATGTTTCTTTATCATACTTGATGCTTCTTTCTTCTTTCTTTCATCTCAATCTCTGTTACTTTTTTTCTGTTTGATTATTGTGTTTTCTTGATGCTTCATCTCTCTCCTTCACTCTCTCTTTTTCTCTCTTTCTTTCCCTTTCTCTCTCTTATCATTAACTTTTCATGAACCTCTTTCATTCCCTCTCTCTTTCTTTCACTTTGTTGCCATCTTCTTCTGTCTCTCCCACTCTCACTCACTGCCTTTCTCTCACACATTTGCTCACCTTTTCATTTAGTTATCTCTAACTTTTTCTCTCAGTGCATCATTTTCTTAGCACCCCATTTTTGTAGATGGTAATAAATTGATTGTGCTTTTGTGTGAACTTTTGGTTAAGCCATACATGCTATACACATAGTCATACTAGGCATACTAGGCTAGCACACACACACTTGCATAGATGTGTGTGCCAAGCAGCAGCAGCAGCAGCAGCAGCAGTAATAGATCTGGTATATTTATAGGCCCCCTCTAAGCCCTGCATTCGCACATTACGTTGACACCACACTCTGATATTTGGCATGTTGCCAATTGGCCAATTCATGAAAGGGGTATTTATAGCTGTTGGCTGCCGCAGGCATATTAATCGACTCCTTAATTAGTTTAGTAGTTGACTGGCTGCCCAAAAAGGCAAAGTGAATGTTAATTAAAACCTAATGAAAAATTAATACGCCGTTCTCTCAGCGGCAAATCTCTTGTGACACACAAATCGCGACGAGAGATTAACGAAATTTGACATACTTTCAGTCGAGTTGTGAGGAGCGTTGTGCCCCGCCCACACACCCAGACACGCAGCCATTATGCATAAGAAGCTCGAGGCTTGTTAATTGTTCGGTGGCTGCTGCTCTTACGAAAGAGCAAAACATTTTATCAGTCGCCGAAGTTCTTCGAATTTTGAAACATGCTTCCAAATGTGGCCTTGTCTCGTTAATCAGCTGTAAAGTTGCCGTTTGTTAGCAACAAAGCTGCGTGTGGGCGTTCAGGTCGCCAAGCGGAAGCATTCCGCGTGTTCGCCTTTTGTCCGCTTGCACTGGGCCAAGCGTCGTATGAGTGATGTATGTGACATCTGTGACGCGATCGACGCCGGCCTCTCTGCCTCAAGGGGGTTGTCCACTTTGTGCCGTATTTCACAATGTGTCATCGAAAGTAGGTCCGGACAGCTGTTCGCACTTTGTGATCAGTGAAAGTGGGTCAACTCGGCTCGGGCGCTTTTAATGGCTTTGTTGGGGTAGCTCGCTTCGAGATCCAGAAGTTTCTGGGACGCGATTGAAGCTATTGCATCAGGCGTCAGAGTTTCGACTTTCAAGAAAAGTCTAACAAATATTAGCAATATTCAAATCATGCCTCTCTCTAGCCAGACTCCATCTCAAACTTGGCTCTAAATGTTACACTTAATCACAAATTGAAGCAGATATATTTATATATAAGACGTAGCAAGAATATATTCAATTCAATTTGCAGTTATTGAACCTCATCACCCGCTGGTGTCTTCCAGCTGTGAGCGCACTCCACTCATCTGCTTAGTCTTGAAGTCCACTCATCGGCGACTGACTTCCTCAAGCAGCCATACGTTATCGCCTCTGAAGATCTTAGCTGGCATTGGCTCTTGCCCTGTCAGAGTCGCTGGTTGGGGATGTCTATCAGCGCAGCTCCTGGGGCAGACGTGGCGGGGGGCGGCTTCGATTGTTTTACGATTCGCAACTGTTGTTGCTGCTGCTGCTGCTGCTGATTTTCGCAGTGGCTGTCAATAATGTGTAAGGATAATTTTAATTTTAGTCATAAGTCTGGAGCTGGGAGCCACTTTTATCGCTGCAATCTGCGGCCCGTCTTCGTTTGCATGCGAGGCAATTTATTAATTATGCATAAATGCCACTCGGTCAGCAGTGAGGAGCTTGGGTGCCGGCCGGGCGTGGGGCAGGGCAGCTCTGCTGAGTCGGAAAGTTCAAAAAGCAATCAAGCAGGCAGCGTCTCGAGTGCCGACAGCCAACAGTTCTCATTTCGCAGTTCTGTATCTCAGACGACTGTACAGTTATATATATATGTATATATATGCGCTTATATAGAAGCGCAAACAGCTTCGAATGAGCGGGTGTTGAGTGGCTGGAATGACCAGCTAAGCTGACTGCACATCGCCGAACGCGTCAAATTGATTTACCTAAAATGGAAGTCGCATCTTTTGTCATCTTTTTTATGCGAATTTTCTGCAGAAACAATTTGGCTGCGCTGCTCTGATAATTTGCACGCCTCGTTGAAGGTCTATAATAGGCTTCTCCTTTTCGATTTTATAGATGCTGCCCCATAAATTATACGAAAATGTCTAGTCCGCATCCTCTGTCTGCAAAAGACGCTGCCAAAAAAAGGAGAGAATGAAAACAAAAACAAATCTAGTGAAACCTTTGAGCGTCAAACAATAAACCTAAACCTAATGCCGAGTTCCATTCCTTGGGCTGTCCAGAGACAGGGTCAGAGCTACCCGGTACCAGTTACCATTTACCATTTACCATTTACCAGCTACCTGCTGGCTGTCTACATTTATCTAAACTGCCCAACGATCCTCAAGCAGTGCAGCATGTGTTCTTAAGTGGCTCCGACTCCGACTTCGACTCCGACCCGGTCTCGGGCTCGGCGTCTACACCCTAACACCATTTTTTGTTTTCGTAAAGTTTTAAATTTCTTGGAAATAAAAGCCTGGCCATTAGTTTTCGTCCTTCTTCTTTTCCATCGTCTACGCTCGGCTGCCTTTTTATGGTCTCTTTAGATACAGGACAGGCAAAATTTTGCAGCTACATATGGAGTACCTAGAGGAAAATCTAAGACGCGTCACGCCTGCATCGTTTTTCGATCTACCCTAAGCCAAGGGCAGAGCTCTTTGACTTGCCTATGCACTTGGCGCTGCGATGTTGAGCAGCTGATAAAGTGAAGAGATTCCGAGGCTATTAGACGACAAGAGAGCAAACAGGTTATTGCCTATCTCCCTGTTCGCCTGACGATCGATTGCTATTTGTGTGTTTCTCGTTTCGTTCAGTGTATTTAGACTTCGACTCGAACCTTTTTGTTCTGCGCTCGCAGTTATCGCGCTCGCTTAGCCCCACGTAACCGTCGCGTCGTCGAGCCGCAGCGCTCATCTGTCGGGTTTTTGGACTTCACTTGTCCCTCATACGCCTCGTTGTTGTATTTGTTGCTATTGCTGCGATACGAAACCGTGCAGGTGTCCAATATTTTCTTTTATACCGCGTCATTGGGTTGAGCACACACACACATAGGTATACGAGTGGTATACAAAAAAAAAAAAAAACTAGTTCTAGATTTACAGCCGCAACCCGTCGACTACTTCGTCGAGGCGAAGTCCCTCCCTCAGCCATCGAGTCTGAGCGTCGCTTTATTTCGCCCATATTTTCGATTCGATTGCGTATAACAAGTTTAGCTGCCCGACGCTGGTTCCCTTGCCCGAGCCCCTGCTCGATTCGTTGTTTAACTTTATAAAGTGCTTTGCATCCATGCAACGTTTGCTTGGCCTGTCTGCCCCATCTCCCCCCCCCTGCCGCCTTCTGCCACACCTTCCTAATGCCTTTTCTTCGCTGCGCTTTCTTGTTGTTGCTCTCGGGTTTTTAATTTTTGTTTTGATTCTACGTTTTTGTGCTTGTTCTTTTGTGATTTTGATTAATATTTTATACATGTGGTTGGGCTGTTTGGTCCCATGCGGTGCCGCTGTCCGGCTGTCCGACTGTCTGACGGTCCGCTTGTCCCACTGTCCGGCTGTCCCATGTAATTACCCAAATTTGGCGTCACTTGCCGTTAAAGGTTTTTGGGCTTGGAAAATAGACAACGGTATAGTGGACTTAAATTTTATTTATGGACTTGGGTTACGTTACAAAAAAGGCATTAGCTATACACCTCTTAGCCGGGCTGAAGCTCCAATCGAGTGTTGTATGTTGAGTGGCAAGCGACTTACCACTTCTGCTCTAAGCCAATTTATAATCCCTGTGCGCTATCTCGACGGCTTTCCAATATGCGTGTGATCCTTGTAGTTCCGCCTGCTCCACAAACCTCTCGAAGGGATAGCCATGGGGCAGCTCATCCCAGCTGCTGACGCCTTTGCTAAAGTCACAGAAGAGCTCGTTGCCCTGCTTGGCCTTATAGTTGTAAGGCGTCGCTATAGTCAGTAGCCGCATGGCAAGCGGCGCACCGGTGCCGCCTCGAGGCAACAACAGGCGTCTAGGAAAGCCACAGCTCGGCAGGGTTATATTCAAGGGAAAGTCGTATTGTTCCTGCTCCGCCAAGCTCACATAGTGATAGAGCTCTGTGAAGCTTATATGATCGCCGATCGATCCCAGAAAGTCGCGGGACTCTCGACGAATCGTGTTGTTCCCCTTGTAAAGTACCGTCAGAAATGAATCGAGCTGATAGAAGGGCTCCTCATTGACAGCTCCGCCAGCTGTGGTTAGGTAGGTGCGCAGAATGGTTGACTGCGTCCTATTGCTGACCAGCTGGAAAGTGATGGCAAAGGGCTGCTGCTGCAGTCGGAGTCGCCGTGACTGCAGACTGTGCGGCCACATGAAATGCTTCTCGTAGTAGAAGTTTCTGGCGTGCAAAAGATTGCTGAGATCAACGTCCACAGGCTCGTCGAAAGTGATCAGCGGCTCAACCAGAATATCCTCAATGCTTATATCGGCAGGCCGCACGGACTGTGGGTAGCTCGGCTGAAACTCGCTGCGATAGGATCGATAGGCATGCAATAATCGATCGGCATAAGCGTAAAATCTCGGCTGTCGCAGCATCGTATGCAGTTCCAAGAGCTGTTGGGGCTGGCCAGCGGAAGGCAACTGCAGCTGACTCAAGTCGTAGGGAAACAGCTGCTCCAGACCGAGCAGCCAATTGTGACCCTTTTGTAGATCGATCAGCGTGCCATTGGATAGACTAAAGCTTTGCGTGGATATCGCTGCCTCCACGCGCAGCTCCAGTTTGCGCAGCAGCTCTGTGAGTTGAGCCCTTGTGGCGCGAGTCTCTAGCTGATAGCGCTGGCCTTGCCATGTCAGCAACTGACTGTTCTCCTGCTCCTGCATAGGCAAACGCTTGTACTCCATTTGCTGTCCGTAACGTTCGAGCTTGTAGCGTGCCACAATCTGGCTCAGCTGCCAGTAGCACCAATCGCGGATTCGAGCCGCTTGCGATGGATTGTCCTGTAGAGCCACGCCCATATTGAGGTAGTACCAGTAGCTCAGCCAGCCGAAATCTTCAATTAGATGACTCAGTTTGCCTTGAGGCATCTTTGGCTCGCTTAAACTTAAGATCTGCACCTCGGACATTGCCTCGCTCCACTTGCTTGCCGTACGCAAGTCTCCGGTTAGGTTCATAGGCAACAACTTCTTGGGCAGCACCATCTGAATGTGACTCTGATTGCCCATCATCGCCTGCTGTCGTATCCAATTGATGTAGTTGAAGTTGCCAGCTTCCCGCACAACTGTCTCACTGTGATACGGCGCCGGCAGCAGCTCATAGATCTTGGGCATAATCAGGACTCGGTAATCGTCGCGCTTGAGCATCGTCTGCATCAGAGCGTGCAGAAAGAGACCTGGGTTTGCATGCACACGGGCCCAGCATATATTCTGCCTCAGCGTGCTCCATTCGCGTGTATTGTAGAAGAACTGAAAGAGGCCCAAGGTCTCCCTGTAGTGCTCCGGCTGCAGCGGATTGTAATAGACGTCCTTGGGCAACAGGCGATCCGAGCTTAGCTGTTGATAGAACTGCTCCATTTGCTCGGTATAAAACTGTGAGATCAGATTTGTCTGGTTTGAATCGGTTTCTCCATGTAGACGAGGCTTACTTACGACATATTCCGTCTTATCGCTAACGATGCGCTGACCCAATGCAATCCACTGTTCGTGCAGCAGCGGCTCCTGCAGATGATGTAGGATTTCCAACAGGAAACGCTGCTTGTTCAGATAATATTGATTCGCTGCGAATAGTTCGAATAGTTGTTAAATTTACATTCTAATATAAGCAAAGCTCTACCTATATTGCCTGGAAAGATGGCATCATTGGGACTCAGCTGCAGCGGTATAACGAGCAGCGATAAGAGCAAACCAAATCTCAGCATGGCGCTTGCTTGCGATTGACAGTGGCAAAATAAACTGAACTGAGCTGAGCTTTTGCTGAGCAGAATTTTGAAGACTCAAGACTGCAGCGATCTAATCGAATTGAACCTGTGATCTCAGGCTGATAGAATCTCTCAAGGGGGCATCACGTGACGTGAGGTCCAATTGTGCCCTATATTGAGCAAGGTATAACTGACTTGTGAAGCTAACTGAGACAGCTATTGCTAGCCAGGTTTTACCTTGACTAATGCAGGGAATATTAGGCAGAGATTACATAAGATAAATCAAAATGGGGTTGAGAAATAGTGGGGCCAAGTAAGTTTGTTGTTGGCTTAACTTTGTAATACTCTGTAGCCATTAGAACTGCGCTTCAAATGTCAGTAATATGGAGAGGGAGGCCTGGCACATTGTATTGACTTTGATTGCGGCTGCTACAGTTCGAACTATAGTCACTCTAGCAGCATCATATCACATGTCAGCCCATATTGATATAGGAATCTTAAAATAATAACACACAGTTCTTCTATAAGATTATCCTTATCAATAAAATCATCTTTAATTGTATCTCAATGCTCTCAATTGATTAAAAAAAATAGTGAATTTAAAGTATTCTAGTTTAGCTAGTTGTTAAATAGCTTCTCCTCAAGAGAAAGTTATTTACTTGAAATAAAGAAAATACTTCAAGAGCAGCAGCCAATCTAATAAAGAAACTAATTTTTCCCATTCATTTGCGCAGGGTATTTCCTAGTCGAACACTCTCAACTAGTTTTTAAAAACACTTTCAATTTTCATGTCTCTAAAAGCTAGAAGTAAAGATAAGCCTTGTAATGGCAATCGGAATAGCTTTGATCTCCTTCAGTCATAGAATTTTGATTCTTTATAGAAAGATAAGAAAAAGATAAAGATACGTTTCTGATAAGCGGCCAGCCTACTCAATCAGAGGAAGCCAATTATTGTAGTATTTTCAACAATTGTCACGCTTTGTGCTCAGAGCTGTGGGCATACTTATGCACTCACTGTAGTGCTGCAGACATTGTTTATTAGTCATCCAAAGTGGAAATGAAATGTAAAAACATTTTTTGTTATGATTTTTATTTTATTATTTTCACTGTTGCTGTTGTTAACTGCCTCGAACTGCCTCTGCTGCGGATCAGTCATATCTCTGCTGCATGTTGCTGCCACTTAAATGTGCTCAACTTCTGCTGAACCCAGTGGATGGCGGAAAAACGGGGCAAATTATAATGCGAAAATGTTAATTACAGTCACTTGGCTTGGCTTGGCTTGGCTTGGCCGGCTCGACTCAGCCAGATATGGGCATTGTGTCTGTTGCCTTTTGTAACGAAAAATTGGCGTATTAATGTAAAACGTCGCCCAGGCGTAACGGATAATAGGAGCTGAGTAAATTAACGGTCACTTACACTATATATATATATATATATATATATATATATATATATATATATATATATATATATGTAGGTATTACACATGCGATGTCTCTTTGTTTGGTCTTCTTCCTTAGCTGCTGCCAGCTAGGTGGCATAGTACAGAGCATGACAAGCGCTTTGCTTGCTTAAAGTTAATGATTCGAAACGCGTCGCCTAATACGGTGCACAATGAAAAACTCTTTATTGATATTCGACTGTAACTGCATGCGCGTTCACGAAGTGAAGAGAGCATATTGGTTTTGTTACTAACTGACTGTAGCTGTGTCTAGAGCTAGAGAATTGAAATTGGCAATATTTTCTCCAGCTTAGCCTCGTCTTTAAAGTGGGCGTGGCATGTACATAAGTTAGTTTATGTTATTTAGTATAAATTCAATTATTTTCTTAGCTGCAGACTTGTAATTTGATACATACATGTGCCTAGACCTACATCAGAATTATATAACTTTGCCGATTGTCTGTAGTGCAAATCATTTATCTACTCTATAGAGTATCTACTCCAATTAAACTAAAAATATTTACAACTCTATGCAATGTAATTTAATGAAATATAACATAAAATATAATATATAAACTTATACTCATGTTAAATAATTTTTTTCACCTTTTTTAATAGCCACTACTATTTTTATGAACAACTAAAGTTTGTGAATTTTTATTTCTCAAGTCTCGCAGTAAAAAAATAAAGATAAAAAAATTTAATCATAATATTCGTTTTAAAGTCTTGTCAAAATATTGTGTTTATTGCTAAATTGTGTTATCCAAAATTTCAGACTCAGTCGCACTACTATTTTTATGAACAAGGCTGAATCTATACTTCCGCTATATTCGTCTTGACAAAATTGAGCTCTTCCACAAACGTAGCTCTGAAAATATATTCATATCTTATCAAATTTAGCTGAGCGAGTATTGTGCAGTCAGTAGCGCCCAACTGCATCGGCTGCTTGTTTGTTAAAAAGCAATTTTCACCTTGACTCATGACTCAAAGATGCCCTGGCATAAGCTTGTTAACTCGAAAGACCGTTACGGCTGAGACCAAATGCAGCCTCATGAAAACTGATTACGACAAGGCTAAGAACAAAACCCTCCAACTGGCAACTGCCGGCACCCCAACCCAGCCCAGCCCAGTCCTGCCCAGCCCCGGCCAAGTGCTAAATGTTGTCTAATCATCGCAAGGGCCTTATGCGCAGCATGAATATTAAGTAGTTGTGCGACTGATGACAAGAGACAAAACGCGCTCTGTTCAGCCCATAAATGATCGCACAATGATTGCAAATACGACAGCAAGAAACGATCTTTATACAAAGAGCTTGCATTTATCGCGCGCCGCACGTGCAAAGGGCCAGGCAAATGATTTTGCATTTATTTTATTTTTTATTTTTTTTTTTTGTTTGTTGTCGCAGCAACTGGATCTCTAGAAACTCTTGTCTTCGATCACAAAAGTACTTTGCATAAGCTGGAGAGCGAGGAGGTAGGGAGAGTGATTCTGCGACAATCTTATCACATCATTTCCATAGTTTTGCAATCATCAAAAACGCATAAATCGTCGATGCTATTTTTTTTTTTTTTTGCCTCAAGCCCTCGGGTCGTGCCTCGTTTGGTGTCCTCTAATGTCATCATTTTTTTTTTCGTTCCTGTCGCAGTAGCTTATGAAATGCAAATTACTATTCAATAGGCCATTTTTTTGTTCATTTGATTTTCTTACCCCTTGATCGGTGAGTTTTTCTCACCTGGTCGCGCCTTCCTTTGTCAGCGCTCGATTGCCCCCTTTTAGCGCATTAGAAGTGTATTTAAAAAGTCATTATCAGTCCCCTTGGCGAGTGTGTGCGAGTATCTATGTGTGTGTGTGTGTGGCACATTAATCAAATCGCCTTTGTCAGCGTTTTTTATTTATTTATTGTATATATAAACATATATATACATAGCTTCTTGTTTATACAAAAGAACAAATCAAGTGTTTATACTGCGTTTATTTCATTAAAGGGCCAACAATTGACTATAAAATTTTATTCAAAAGTGAAAGGAGAAAATTAACTTTGACTAGTTCAAGGTGAATACATAGTAATAATATATATAATAATATATTACTATATTTTATATGGTAATTTGAAAAACTAAAGGCTTATTAAACAATTAAGAGTGCTCTTGTCGGAAAGGCTCAACTTGGAAATACCCTGAGTTCAGCTTGCCAATTTGTGTTTTGCTGTACAGATTGTCCACAATATTTTTTTATAATATTTGATATTGTGTATATATAATATTTTATATATATAGTATTTTATATATAATATAATAAATGTTTAAAATATGTAGAACCGTCAAAATTGTATGACATATTGATTAAACTCAATGCAATATTTCTGAAACTCTCGTTGCAATGCTGTAAGAGACTTAAGAAAATAATTTAAAATGGGAAAACTTTCTGACTGTATAATGATCAATTGATCTTCGCTTTCTATAACTATAGATATACATAAAAAGTTTCAAGTCTTTAGCTCTTATAGGTTCTGAGATCAACAGACAGACGGACAGCACTACTTCGACTTGGCTGCGAATCAATAATATATATAATTTATGGGGCTGGCATTCTTAACATAATTTAACAAAATTAATATACCCTGATCTGCCAGTGCATTAAACTAAATAAAAATACAATTAAAATAAATGCATAATAAAAAGAATTAAGAATTAAGCAGGAGAACATTTTAATTACATTTTTGATGTATAAAGGTAAATAAATGTTCATTTTTATAGTTTTTAATAATATATTAAAAGTATTGTTATAATTTATATTACATTATTATATTTTTATTTTAATATATTTATTATTATTTTATTATAATTATATTTTTTATATTCAAAAGTGAAAGATATTTGCTTAGACATTTATTTTGCTGACTGTTAGGTGTTAGAATATAGTTGGAATTTGTATGAATGCTTAAATGCTTATTAGACATAATTTCAGTTATTAAAAATAGTTAATTATATAAAGAAGTAAATCATTTATTTTTAATAATAGCTTAGTTTCTCAGCTTGAGCACATATTGGACTGAGAGCTGTTTATTAACTTCATGCAAAAGCAGTTACGAGCTGTTGATAGACCTGTTATTGTCTTAATACTTTAATAATATATTATTGACTCTTGGAATTTAAAGTCTGAGCTTCATTTGTATATAATATTTTAGAACTCTTTTATTATTATTATTAAAGAATTAACAAAACTTGTAAGACAATTTTTAAATATTATTAAAAATATAGAAAATCTAACTAAAGCTTTTTTTAATAAAATTAAATTTAAAATATTTTATTGTTATTTTGTATATTTTATAACTAGTGCAAATCACAGTGAGAATTTAATGAATTTTACAAAATTAAAATAATTTTAAAACTATCTAAATATGAAATTATCTAAAATTATCTAAATATGAGTATCAAAACTCTTTCGTTGACTAGAGAAATTTTACATAGATATTTGTTTACTAGATTTCTAAATGTAGCTCAGCTGCAAAGCCCTTCAAAGCAGTACAGGAAATTTGAGTAAGATATTTGCTTGGCAG